CGGAGGGGTGGAGATTGGGAGAGATTTTAATTATACCCATAGGGACTCAAGCTTTGGACATGGAGGTAAGGAAAGGACAAGAGCATGCAAGCAATAGTAAATTCTGGTTTTACGTGTGAGGAGTTACTGAGGATAAGCTCTGAACAGGGAAAACGATGCCTACAGGGATGCACTTCTGATTTCAGCCACCACCTTTCAGGGTGGATTCATCCAGGTCCTTCAGTGCCATCTTTAAAATGGGAATACAATATCCATGACCATGATCCAGACTGCTCATATAAAACTATGGATCCTGAAAGTACTTGGTAGTTTCTTCTTTACAAGACTTGTGACTGGTGTCATGCACAAGTAGGCCTTTAGTAATAATTTCTGAATGCAGTTATTTTCAAGGAATTCTGATGAGGCCCAAGGGACCTAAAGTTTTGCTCTACACAAGAGCAGATTATTAGCCTCCTCCTCTCCCCTTCTGCATTCCTCCCTCTTCCTAGAATTTGCCCTTGAGGTTGGAGGGGAAACCTGAACTCGAAAATCAAGTCTGGCTTCTCTCGCTTTCCCTGACCCAGGGCAAAATAGTCTCTCCCTCATTGGAGAGGCACTCTTCTCTGTGCAGAGTACTATTGGCACTTTACAGGGGCCAGTTTAACCGCAGGAGTCCGATTTTTGAAAGATGCTGAGGGAGGGAATTCTGCCGCCAGCAGATGGAGAGGAGACTGAGATCAGCTTGGTCCCTCCCAACCACGCTCCCTCTGGGATTAGCAGCCCCTGGCACTGCTCAGGCGTACCCAGCCCGTGCGGCCTCTGCTCGCACAGTTCCCGTCGCCTGTCTGGAGCGCGGACGCAGTCACAAGTCCGCAGCCAGCAGAGCCGCGCTGTCTGGGGCATCTCCGCGCTCCGTGTCCGCGGACCTGGAACCTGGAACCTCGAACGGGCGCGAACGCCACTCGGAACGCGTGCATCTCTGTATGTGCTTATTTCGCATTCTTGTCTTTTCTTTCTTCCTCGAGCGGCCCGCTGGTTACTTTCAATCTTAGTTTACCAAAAGGGCAACGCCGAAGAGGGGCATCCCTAAAGAATGATTTAGAGGCAACCCAGCCGCCTCTCCAAGGAGAGGTGCTCACTGAGAGACTCTCCCCGTCCCCGACGCTGGCCCCTTTAAGACGCCAACTCAGTCCTGTTGCGGAGGCTGCTGCGGCAGCGGCGGCTGCTGTTTGTATCGCTAATCCCCAGGAGCCCCGTTAAAAAAAAAAAAAGAAAAAAGAAGGGGGGGGTGAGTACCGGGCAGCTGTCTCTTTAAATGTGATTTCCTTCTATTGTATTTGAATCGTGATCAGGAAAAAGGAAATGAAACCAGAGACAGAGGGAAGCTGAGCGAAAATAGACCTTCCCGAGAGAGGAGGGAGCCGGGGGAGAGAGGCGCAGTCCCCTCCCGGCCCCCAGGCCGCCGCCCCCTCCCTGCCCTCGGCGGCTAGCTGCGCGCCGCGACCCGGGCCGAAGGGGCGAGGGGCGAGGGGCGGCCGGACGGTCGCGCCCCATTCCCGCGGGCGGCGCGGAGCCGGCGACAGCGCGCGAGCCGAGCCGGACCGGGCGGCGGCGGCGGCGGCGGCGGCGGGACCGGGATGGAAGGTTAAGTCCTGAGCAGCAGCGGCAGCTGCAGCCGCCCGGGGCAGGCTGCGCGCCCCTGTCCCCGCCTCGGCCGCGGCGCGCGGCAGCCCGGTGATTCGCTCTCTCTCTTTGGCGTTTGAAGGGAGCGCGGTGACTGTCCTTGAGCGCGGAGGGGCGAGCTCGCCGCCAGAGCGCCGGAGCAAGAGGAGGCGCAGGAGCGGAGGCGGCGGCGCCCGAGCATCCGAGGGGGTCCGAGCCCCGGCAGCCGGCCAGCCCCGCGCCACAAAGGGAGCGCCCCCGCCGCCTGGCACACCACCTCCCTCCCCAATGTCCTCGGCCATCGAGAGGAAGAGCCTGGACCCGTCTGAGTAAGTGCGGCGCCCCTGCCACCCACGATGTCCACGGCCTCGCGCCCTGGGGCGGCAGGGTGGCGCGGGCGGCCGGCGAGAAGGCTCCAGGTGCGCGCCCGCAGCGTGCCCTTGGTTCCCTCTGTCTTGCGCGGGGCTCCCGCATCCTATCGGGTGACTCCGGGGACACTGTGAGAGGGGCTGGGCGGCGGGCGGCAGGAAGAGGGGGTCGGCCCGGCGCCGCTGCGGGCCCCTCCCGGCTACCTGGGACTCTCCCCAAAGCCACTGTGGGCCAGAAAGTTTACACCGGAGCAGGCAGAGGGGGAGGTCGGAGGCGCGCAGGTGCAGTCCCGAGAGCCTTCAGGACTCGATTCTGCTCCTTTCTCCCCTCTCGTTCCTTCTCGGTCCCCTTTCTCTTTGTCCATTTGGTCCTGGAAAGGGGGACATTACAAGTGGAGGCCTCCCGAGTCCCCGACGGCCCCCTTCCCGGTCCGCAGGTGGAGCGGCTGCCCGCAGCTCCAGGGACCGGCGGGTGAGGAGGTGCGAGAATTCACCTCGGAGCTCACTCAGGCCTCCAGAGACTTTAGAGCAGCTAAACACGGAGTTAATCTGGATACACGTCCCCGCCTCTCCCCTCGGGGTCCACCGATGGGGACCATTGAACCTCGAAAGTTAGTGCACCATTTTGCGTATAGGTGAATTTTTTCTGGGGAGCGGAGTCTCACGGCTTTTATCACAGTCTCAAAGGGTTTGGAGTCTGGGAACCGGAGCTCTAATGAACTGCATTTGTTTTCTGAGGCTCTGACTGGTTTGAAGTAACCCCTCTTCCCAATGTTTACCTCCAGCCCATTCCTTAGTGTTAAGACGCGGAGAAAGGGTTGTTTTAAGATATCATTTAGCCGTCAGCGCAAATTCCCTTTTAAGATTCATTAGCTGTCTGGTTTTGAGAACATTTATTCCTTTGAAGTCCCCATCTAATCCTTTGAAGGGATTTGTTACACAGACCAAAGGAGCTGGTTAATGACTTGTCCATTTGTGCTTTTAAGAGGCATTTGTTTTGTTTTGTTTTCTTTTCTTTTTCTGCTTTAAAAGAATTGTGCTTTCCTGATTGAAGTACCTCCTCCTCCCAATTTCAGTCTCCTATGGTGTTTATATACCTGGGTTTTACCCTCAGTTAGGAGCATAAAAGCTCAGCGTGTTCTCATAAAACACAGGAAGTACCATGATCTAGTGAGAATATAAACAACCCTATTCAATCTTGAAGGTTCAGATGCCAATTCTATAAGGAGTCTGGTTTGTTCTAACAAAAACCCAGCTTCCTTAAATTCTCAGGAGAAAGATAACATTCCTTTTTAAAAGTATATATCTACGAAAACACTGGGTTTAAAGGGTGGTTTGCTCTTTTTTTTTTTTTTTTTTAACAAACCGAGAATTACAACTTAGCCCTGAGTTTTCAGAGCCTAGGCAAGACCATAGTAATACAATAAGAGAGTGAACTGGATGAATTACCTTTGAAAGGCTCCTAATGCCTTTTCGATCAGTAGAACTCAATCACTAAGCCTTTTATTAGAAGATAAATCTGGAGGTTTCAGTTCCCTGAAGGAAGTGTTTGTCTTTTCAAAGTTTGTGCTTTTTCACTGAGATTGGAAAATTGAAACATCTTTACCTCATAACACAGCAGGCACCTACTGAAGGGTGCTCTTCTCCATCCTTTGCTTCACTATTTGCCCAATGCAGACAAGCTCTCATTGGAGATGGACCAGCTCACTGAGAAATTACTGCAGCACATTTTTTCCCTATCGCTCTTGGAAATTGTTGAGAAATTATCCCAGAAATCCAGGCCGAAGTGTGTTTAGGTATAATATTCAGATAGGCTCTAGGAGAATATAAAATATTAGGGAGTGAATCCCACTCAGTTATTGGCTTGGAACATACACCAAAGATAATGTGATATTATCATTAATTATAGAAAGATAGAAGCAATATCTTATCCTATCCTTTCCTATCTCATCTCAGGCCATCACAATAGCTCTTTTGCTTACCATTTCTACTGCGAACCACTATTCTACCAGAAGCTTCATTGTGTACATACTTGGGTCAGTGCAGCTGAGGTCAGTCTGATCAGCATCTCCAAATTACACACAGAAATTTGCCAAGGCATATGCAAATGAAACATTTAGACAGAAAGACAGCCAGAATTCACACAGAGATTTCCTCTACTGGGCCACCAGTGGCCCCTACCGCCTCCCTGTGAGTAACAAGAGCAGTTCATTTTAATTCCAGGCAGTTTTGCACCAGCTAAGTGCAAATTCTCTTCTTTCACAGTTGGTTGGCAGGCTCAGCATCAGGGCATCCAGCAGTGTTGAGGTTCCATGAGCGTTTCTGAAAGCCTAAAGTAAGACCATGGGCTGTGGAAAGGGAAGAGATGCGATTCTGAGGTGATGCATGTGAAAATGCTGGTGTTTTATTTTTCAGGAGGGAGAATGGAAGTCTTTATGTATAACCCGTGGAAACAAAAGCAAGCCAGGCTTCAGTGAATTCTTAAAACTATTCAAAGTCTTGAGTTTTTAGGAGGAAACTGGTTTGGGTTTTACATTTCCCTGTTCTAAAAGGAGATCATCTCACAAAGGACCCTCATACTTGATCTACAAAGTGTGGGCTCGGTTTCAGTAGCCCTAAATATTCACAGGGAGGTATGCACATTACAGACAGAGTCACCTGAAGCTGTCAGAGTGTGTTATCAACACTGGTTCCCTGAGCCTTGTCATCCCTAGGTGTAAAGGACGCTGAGTGCTGTGGGCACAGGCCAATCAGGACACAAGGTCACCTGGTAAGTTAGCGTCAGCTGGAAATAGGAGACACAGATTTATACCCTCAAAGTACCGAGGGGGAAACTCCCTTTGGGAATTTCACAGTTGGAGGCAGTTCCATTTTTCAAAACATAATAGAATTTTGAAAAATAGATTTGTGTTTGAGTGAGGTTCAAGAAAGCACTTGTTAATTGTCACAGATCAACAGGTATACTGTTTTTCCTGTGTCCCATCTGGTGAGAGAATCATTTCTCCCACTCCCTTTATTTTCTTTTGGCAAATAAAGTTATTTCTTTTAAAATGTAAAACAGAAGTATTCAGATTCCAGTGAAGCAAAGTGAACTGGAGACACTGTATGACATTGTAGTGAAAGAACACACATCACAGGCTCACTCCTAACAATTGCCTGGGTGGAGACTTCAGAGTCTGTTTAATTGCCTTCCACTCTCTCGAAAATAATTATTGCCCCTCTCCCCATTTTCTTTCCTAAATCAACTTCATCCGAATCAGTTTTGCTGCTGTAAAAATGTTCACGTGCAGAAAGTTCTGTTTGACGTCCTTTATAAGTTTAACAGTGGCCTTAATTAACACCTGAGATTTTTCTCCAAGGATTCATTCAGTAAGAAGGATGGGATGCGGAATTTCTATTAAAAGATAATAATAATGAGAATTTCTATTATATCCTGATGGAATTTTTATCTTGGAAAGAGAAAGCAACCTAAAATAACTTGGGGTCCCTTTCTCCTTTCTTCCTTCCTCACCTCTGCTTTTGTGCAGTTGGGAAGGGTTTGAGGCAGGATGGCACGGAGATTCAAAAGGGAATTTGCAGATTCTTAGCCCTCTCGGAAGTCACTGTCCTGGCAGCAAGCAACTCTTATAGTCCTGGGTGCCTCCTCTGGGTTTGGGCAGTGCCCTTGGGTCCTGGGTATGTGAGGAGGAAAGAGGAGAGGTGTGGAGATGGAGTAGGAGGGAGATAAAGAAGAGAGACCACAGGTGCCGAGAAAGTGGGGCTGGACTGTGGGTAGGGGTGCAGTACCACCTGCAGTTGCCTTGGTGCCTCTTGGTGCCCTGCACTTGCTTCTTCCGGGATCTAGGATGTAGGGTCTAGCTCTCTCCTGTCCTAACCCAAGGCTGGCAGGGTCTCTCTGCAGTCTGCCCTAGGTATATGCTGTCCCCTCCTTTCTCTTATGTCACCTACAGGCAACTGAATGAGGTTTCCTTTTGGGCACAGCATGACTCCTGACCCCTCTCCCGTGCTTGTCTCCCCAAGATGAGGTCATCCCTAATGCTTGGCCTTCTTTCCAGGGAGCCAGTGGATGAGGTGCTGCAGATCCCCCCATCCCTGCTGACATGTGGAGGCTGCCAGCAGAACATCGGGGACCGCTACTTCCTGAAGGCCATCGACCAGTACTGGCACGAGGACTGCCTCAGCTGTGACCTCTGCGGGTGCCGGCTGGGTGAGGTGGGCCGGCGCCTCTACTACAAGCTGGGCAGGAAGCTCTGCCGCAGAGACTATCTCAGGTACTGTCCTCGCTGCCCTCCTGGGGCTGTGGGTCTGTCTCCCCCAGTGCCTGCCTTTTGCCCCAGTGAGGTCAGGCTGGGTCTCAGCTGCCCGATGCAGGGAAGCAGTCGGCCTTTCTTCCTGTTCGAGAAGCATGTTCTCAGGGATACATTCCTACATGGTCAAATTCTAATATTTTAAAGGCAAGAGAGTGATGAACACAAAATTCAGAATAGCGGTTCCCTCTGTGGGGCAGAAAAGGGGAGAAGGTTGGGGAGAAGTTTGGGGAGAAGGCACAGGACGTGCCAAAGGAACTGGGAGCTTTGTAGTTTCTAAGTTTGAGTGTGGGCTCCTAGGAGCTCATTTAATGCTTCAAAATATACCTATAGGTTCCAAATAGTCTTTTGTAAGATTCCAATATTATGTGATGAGAAATTTAAGAATAGAAAGCATGATCTCGCCACGGCATTCCAAGTATTTGACGGTCACAGCAGGAAGGCCCTGAAGTCAGCTGTAGGTTTGAGCCCCGGCACCACTGCTTTCTAGCTCTGTGACCTTGGACAAGTTACGTAACCTTCCTAAGCCTCAATTTCCTCATCTGTAAAATGGGGATAACAGCGATACCTACTTCCAAGAAGGGGTGGGAATTAGATGGGGTGATACATGTAAAGTGCTTGGCTTGGTGCATGAGTATAAGGATCAAATAGATGTTAGCTGCTCATGACATTTATCATTAGAGTCTTTTCCGATCTAATGAACAAAGAAATGGAAGAATGGAAAGGCAAAATAGGAACTCTAGAACATCCAGTGAGACAGGCACTGAGGCCATCTTGGATGCTCTGGGTCATAAGTTTGGCTATGTGAATTTTCCAGCACTCAGATGAGTGCCTTTGCCTGGAATGTTCTAGCATTTCCAGTTTCATATTAGCTGCTGCAGAGGTAACTCTGTGCCCTCTGCTGTCAAATCTGCTTAACTGTGTAGCTGTCAGATTTTTGCCATCTTCCTGTGGCAGAGGGTCTGTGGAGCATGGAGCCCTAATACATTAGAACCACCCAAACCAGGGAAGCTTGTTTAGACTCCAGCGCCCTTGGCTGCCGGGCCAGCCCTTTCTCCCAAACCTGCCCTCAGAGCATTTTAAATTAAAAAAAAAAAAAAAAAAATGCAGGCAATTCCATGGTGAAGGAAGCTTATCTGTTCACCCAGAGACTGACAGAGTAAGCTTCCCACCCCCAAATTTCCTGATAAAGTCCTTGCAAATTTGGTGGTTCAGAGAAAAGAAGTCGGGTTTCCAAGGATCATGATTTTAATTTTGGTCAATTTTTTACTAAGTAACAAGAAAACAGAACTGGGATAAATAGAGACCTGGTTCTGCTCGCTATCAGTTTGCCAAGACAGTGCAGAAAGCAGACGGGTAAATGATTCCCATTGGGCCCCCTGACTACATCCCTGTCAAATCATTTGAATCTTATTAAATGAAGTACAGATAGAGTAAGGTCAAAAGAGCCCGGGCTTCTCCCTATTTCTGCGGTTTTTATATAACATTCAAGAATAAACCCCGTGCTGCCTGGGCTTGTTAATCTCTTGCATTTTTAAAAAGGAGAGAAAAAAGACAGTCTGGGAGAACCCCGTGTTAATTAACCTGTGTCTCGGTGACATGAAATAATTCTTCTCCCTGTTACATTCCTAGGCAACATGTTAATTAACTCTGTGTTAGTGCAAGCGTTTCCAGCCATCCTTTCATATTTATATTATTGTTATTAAAATGGGCAGGAGGGAGCTTCAGACATGACATCTCTTGACAGAGGAGAAAAATCATTTCTTGTTGCAGGCATGGCCCTTTAGCCATGGACTTGTTTGCTTGCATTCTTGACATATCTGGCAGTGTCTTTGCAAAAGGCAAGTTGGAGGAGTGAGGAAATGGGTTCTATGATGGGGTTCAGTCCTTCTCCCCCTGCCCACCCACCCCTGCCCCAGGAGAACTTCTCCCCCTGAGGGTTTCCAGTGTTTGACTTGCCTGTTACAGTCCCTTTCAGACATTTAGCCTCAAATATTCATGAGACCCCCATGCAGAACCTAAATAAACCCTGTGCTCTTATGTTGTTTTCTTGGGAACCGAAGAATAACTGTTAATATCAGTGCCCAGCCCAGATCCCCTTGGATCGCTTTTTACCAGTTTTTGTGTGCAGTGCCTCCCCACCCCTAAGTGTTTTACTTTCAACAGCCAGCACCTGTGTCTGTTAAAGCCAGAAGTGTGCCCACTGCCCACCCCCACCCCCCCATGCCCAACAGACCTGGCCCACTGGCTGACACTGCCGGAGACCAAAGTCCTGCAATCTTGCCGGGAGCCAGGGCCGCTTGGAGACATAACTTACACCCCAGAGTCCCCGTGCAGTCAGGCTGAAGCTCCCCTCGGACTTGGCCCGAGTGTGCAACTTTGCTTGCCTTGCACCCCTTCTGTCCGGCTTCCCTTGCCACCTTACCTGTTTTCCCTGATGACACATCCTTAACAAATCCTGGTCTCAGGGTCTATTTCTGGGATATCCAGCCTAAGGCACCAATCCTTGGTGCCAGAGGTGAACGCCCAAGTTAGATGTCAAGTCCTGGCTATTTTCACCATTAGTGAAGTCCCAGCAAACCAGAGCTTGTAAGGGCCTGCAGAGGCCTTCTCTTCCAGTTCTCTTGCATTATAGCTTAAGACACAGAAGCCAGGGCAGAGGGTGTCATTGGCTCTGGGGCACCCAGCTAGTTAGAGGTGATGCTGGGACCTGAACTTGTCTCCCAAATACAAGTCCTTCATCCTTCCCTTCGTTAGCTGCCTGACGTGTGTTGTAATTTACCCCCAACTTCCCTTTAATAAACGCTCTCCTTCCATAAGGGTCACACACCCCAGGTGGTTGGCTTCATTCCACACACACTGTTTTGTAAGTCACTTGGACCCAAACTCAACTTACTGAACAATCAGGAAATCAGAACTGTCTTTCCACTCTGTGACCTCCAGGGTGGCAGTTCCCTACAGCTCCACCATCTGCTGCTTTGGGATAAAATGTTCTCCCCCAGTAATGAGTTTGCTCCCAGGTGGTGCCTTGAAAACACTCAGAGCTCTTCAGATGGAAAGCGGGATTCGGAGGGAAATTAGCTGGCCTGGCTGTAACCATGAGTTCTCTACCCACAGACCATGTCTTCCTGGTTCCATTAATTTTGTTCATGTGTTTCAAAATTTGTCAACTGCCCTCATCTCCCCTAGAACCTCTCAGAACGTACCAGTTGATTCTCTGCTCTTCTGAAGTTAATAAGAACTTCCGAGAAGAACAGGCATTCACCTAAAACCACCCTGAAGGCTTTCCGTGGAAAGGACCTGCTGACATGCCATGTAATCAGGCATGTGGGAAAATGACTTCTGGCAGCAAGACTGGCCCTGTTGGAATACCCCCAAGATGTGTTAAAACCCAGCCAGCGCTGGCTTTGCCCTTGAACGCTGGTGCTTTGACATGCCGCGTCCATCCTTTAACAGCCGGGTGAGGGGCACGCTATGATCACTGCCAAGCTCAGAGGAATCAGAGGTCCCACCAGGGTCACTCAGGTACTCAGGGCTAGTCCTGGCTGAACCCAAGTCTCCTGATTCCAGTGCTTGTGTTATCCCACTCTTGCGGGCTGATTCTCAAACTTCAGCCTGCATCAGAATCACCTGGCCGTGCTCAGGACCACACAGACGGCTGGGCCTCACCCGCAGAGCATCTCAATCAGGAGGGCCTGAGTGAACATTTCTAACAAGTTCCCGGGTGATGCAAATTCGGCTGGTCCCAGGACCACACTTTGGGAACCGCTGCACTAGGCTCCACCGTATTGCATCCCCCACTTTGGCACTACATGTTGCTTAATATAAGTAACCTGTCAGCTGAGACTTGGAGGGAGGGTCTTGATTTCAATGTCAGAAGAGAAGTTTCTCCAGAGACTCATGCCATTGGGGCAGCGAGATCTCGAATTAAGATCTTCCATTCTATGTGGAGAAATGCTGCCCATCCTCCAGATGTCCGAGGCACGATTAACTATACCGCGTGTTTTCGGTTGAACTCCCTCTGTCTCCCAGAAGCTGGGGTCCCAGCAAACAATCATGTGGAGATGGCCTTGGTACCTTTGAAGGAATTCAAGACCAACCCTCCCCATGGGTGGAATTAGTGGCTGTTGATGTGATAGAATTTGGGAGCCTCAGAAAGATGCCCATTTCATTGCATTCCTGGTCAGTTTCCTCTCAAAGGGGCCTCTGGGGTTTACTCCTGGCCCCTCTTGTAAAATGAAAGTTCCCCTGGGAAGAGACACACAACCCATGCCTAACCTCTGAAATCACTTCAGCTGAGAGTCTTTTCCACAGAGGTGGGCCCGGGGCAACCTGGAGGCGTGGAGGGTGGTGGCTGCAGGCAGGGAGAGAGCTCAGAAAAGGGACGAGTTATGCCAAACACAAATGCCACAGATACAGTCTCATCCCAGAGGATCCACTTCTAGGAAACACTGCGACCGAGTCAGCCATCAATCTGGACCCAGCTCTTCCTTGCTGGGACGTCTTGGGAATCCAGCCTACAGCATGGAACCCATCCTCAGGCCCTTTCTTCCAGTATTATCTGTGCCACTGTCTCTTTAGCTCTTCTCTCTGTTTTCTCCCCAGGCTCTTTGGCCAGGACGGCCTCTGCGCATCCTGTGACAGGCGGATCCGTGCCTACGAGATGACGATGCGGGTGAGGGACAAAGTGTATCACCTGGAATGTTTCAAATGTGCCGCCTGTCAGAAGCATTTCTGTGTGGGTGACAGATACCTCCTCATCAACTCTGATATAGTGTGTGAACAGGACATCTATGAGTGGACTAAGGTCAATGGGATGATATAGGCCAGATGCCCCAGCATCTCTGGAGAGGTGTTTCACTGAAGTCACTGTCTCCATGGGGTCTTCACTCTTAGGCATTTGGGGGATTTGAGGGTGGGCTGAGACATTTCTTAGGGGATGAAAGACCCTAATTGGACACCAAGAACCAATACACAGCATCCAAGTGACATAATGCAAGGGGGCAAAACTTAAACGTGACAAAATGACTGGCCTTGAGGGAGAATTTATGGACAATGGCCACAGCCTATGGGTAATAACTGACATGATTAGCGAGGGAGAGAGTGTTCTGTACCGTCATGATGGAACTTCCCATCTACAGATGGGGACTTGTTCTGCCCAGACTTGTTATGTCTTTAACCCTTGAAAACTAGAGATGTGCAATTGATTTCTTTTCTTCCCGGCTTTTATGAGAACCCTGTTCCAACCACTGTCCTCCACACGAGGGAAGGACAGAGAGAAGAGTGGCCATCCTTTTCTTCTTGGCCACCTTCCCAAGGCCTTAAGCTTTGGACCCAAGGGACACTGCATGGAGACAACATTTCAGTTGAGAATGAAAACTGCAACTTTTAACCAAACAATTCTTTAAAGCAATGCTGATGGATCACTGTTTTTAGACACCTTAGTTTTGAAGTGAGGAGTTCCACAGATTGTTTCTATACAAATGTAAATCTAAAAAAAAAAGTTGTTCACCTATTTTATTATCTTAGATTATATCAAAGTATTTGTTGTGTGTAGTTTAAAAAAACTCTGAGGACAATAAAAATGACTGACTAAAACACAGTGTTGTTTACCTGGTAATGACTTACAATTTGGGATGGCAGGAAAAAAATGGCTTTTTATATTGTAAAGGAGAAGTAAATAAGCAATTTACTTTTAGGTCAAATAAAAACAAGTTTATGGCTAGGGTTTATATGAGGCAGGCACGTTTCTATATTACTAGCAATTAGTATCTAACGGGTCATCATGTAGCTCAGAGGGATGTAGAATAATTAGATTGCTATTGTAAAACCTGCATTTCACTTCAGCATTGTATAGAGTGAACAGAAGGCAAGATCTTTGCCTTTGGGAAACCTGTAACCTAGGAAGGACACAAATACATAAAACAGATTCCCTTGGGAGAGAAGGTAATTACCTAGTTTGAAATGTGGCAAAGATGCTGAGCTTGACACTTCGATTTTCCAAGACGTGTGTCTCAGGGTATTTTATGACAAGTGGTTAGGAGAACCTTACCTTGAGGATTTAAAGCAGGCACCTTGTCTGTGCGGTTGCCTTTCACTGCATCCAGGCAGCCATGAACTGACTCAGAGCGCCACCTGCTGGTCATCACCTCTCAGCTCACTAGTTCAAGAACGTCCCAATGAAAGACTAACGGGAGATGTATTTCAATTGTTACATAAAAATATTGGCAAGTACCAAGAAGTCTTAATGTGTTTAATTATCAAGACATCAGAAACATGCATCTAGTGCTACAATTAATTAACTGTGATATTCCTTTAAAAAGTTCATCACTAGGGTTTGCTTGGTTTTTTTCTTCTTCTGGAGAAATAATTAAGTGATGGCTCTCTTGGTCTGTAAAATACTAAAAGTGGTTGGGAAGTTTGACTGCTTAGGGTGGCCTATTTAAAACAAATCTAGTTATACTGAATTTCAACTAGGTGTTGGTAAGGGACTTCCAGTGAGGGGACATTTGTTCTAAATCAACAAAGGGAAGTGGTTCTCCGATTGTGGTCCATGAACCAGCAATATCAGCATCACTTGAGAACTTATTAAAAATGAAGATTCATGGGCTCCATCCCAGACAGAGTGAGTCGGAAATGCTGGGGATGGGGTTCAGCAATCTGTGTTTTAACAAAGCCCTAAAGATGATTCTGACTCATGCTAAAGCTTAAGGATGTCCTGAAACATCCCCCAGTTTGGTAGATCATCTGCTCTAAGTTGTTAACAGTTAGTATTTGACACAATGGTTAATCACTGAGTAACTTTTCCACATGTAGACCAACACTGTCTTCCCCTGGTCCCTAAGCTGAAAACCTTTACATAATTCTGTCACTCAGCTAGCCGTTGTCATCTACCAGATCAATCACAATTCAATCCACCATTTTTAACCATATCGACATTAATAATAATAATAATAGATTTTAGTTATGTGAATGATCCTATGTGCAGTATTTGGTCAAAATAAAAATGGTTCTTGCTTTTGAAATGTAAACTTTATTCTTAATCCCCATGATAGTATAATACACATAAGATTCAGGAGCTCAGCCAATACCTTTGCTATCCTCAACAAAGCGATAACGTTTTCTATTTGTCCATGGCATCATTTTGCAGAATTGTGAATGCATAGGCAGAGTCTTTGTGGTAAGTCACCCCAGGGGCCCAAATGTCTAACCCACAACTGACTTGAGAGGAAGGACATGTAAAGAGAGGGACCAGCTCCCAGAATCTACCCTGGTGGCCCTTGCCTGAGCATGCAGGCTGTGTGCCCAAGACCCAGAGGCAGAGAACCAGGCATCTGCACCCCTCCCCCGTCCATGACTTACTTCAGCAATTTGGTGGAACATTTCACTTCCTCTTACCTTATTAACGTCTTGTAACCTGAACCAGCTTCCTTTTATTGCCGTCTCTAATAGAATCACTGCTTCTCAGGGAATCTTGGAATCCTACAAAGTTACAACAGAGCAGTGGCTAGGAGCTCTATCATCATAAGACTGGGATATGAATGGCAATGATGTGACTTAATTATTTAACAAACATTTACACAGCAGTTACCACGTGCCAGGCACTCTTCTAGGGGCTGTACAAATAGCAACTCCTTTAAGTGACAGAACAGCGCCATGTGTCAGTTTCTATTTATTATCATCCACATTGACTCCCGGGGAAACTGCAGCACAGACAGGCTTAGTCACCTGCCTAAGGTCCTACGGCTAATAAAGGGCAGAAGTAGCCTGTAACTGAGGCCTCACCCTGTGCTCTGCTGCCTCTCTTAGGCTCACCTCCCTGACCCTCAGGTTTCTCATCTGCAAAATAGGGAAAATGAATACCTTTCTCCCCAGGTTATTTGAAACCATTTGAGTACAGTCTAGCCAGAAATGTAACCAAAGTACAATGATATGAGATTAGCACCATAATAAAGATATGTCAAAAGTGCTATGGAAACACAGATGAGGGAACAAACAAATGAGGGAACATTGGCCCCTGGGCGGCTATCTGGAGTAAAGCAGAAGTGACATTTCAAATGCCCCTGGACCAGCAAGGAGGTGACACAGGCAAGAGCAAAGACTCAGAGACCTTGACCTAGTGGAGCAGGTAGTCAAGTGAGCCCAGAGTTTTCATGGTGGTGGTGGTGGAGGTGGTGAGCTTTGGCTGGAGGGGGGCTGGGCCAGTGAGTAAATAACAGGGGAGATGAGGTCTTGCACAGTTTTGAGACTGAATGGCAAATCAAAATCCAAACCCAGGAATCTCTGAGAGGTGGAGAGAGGGTGCAAGGAAGGTATAACAGGGGCCTGGAACATCTTATTATGCTAGAAAATAAGGAACTGCTTTTAAAAAAAAGTGATGTAGGCATGCCGCAAGGACAAAGAAGCCAGCTTGAAGGGGCTGGCCAATCTGGAGCAATTTGACTACCAAAATAATTAAGGATAGTAATGAGTTGCAAAGTGTTGGGGGGAAAATAAGAATTCGTGAGTTCATACCAATAATAAATAAATGGAGAGAAGAAAGGGCTCTTGTTTACAGCAGAATCTTGAATGCCAACAGGTAAATGTGAAGAGAGTGTGGGAGTTGGCAAGTCATCATTCTGCAGCTATCATAGTGAAATGATAGAATCAAGCAAGAATCATCAAGAGTTGCTAAATTTCAACAAAGAGAGAGCAGGATACTTGGACGGTCTTAAAGTACCTTTCCATATATTGTTATTCGTTGCAAGGGGGAAACCCATAATTACACAGTGGAGACATTGGACAGTACCCTGACCAGGTGATCAGTGAGGAGTGGATGGACCATGTGTGCCTCCAGATGTGATTCTCTGTGAGGGACATACCCTCACTGTTTTAGGATTCCTCCTGAGAATGCATAGCGTGAATCTAAGTATGAGACAAATTGCCAGGCAAACTCAGAACGATGAACATTGTATTTTTAAAAAGGGAGGAGATGGGACTCTATTTTCAAAAATGTCAGTGTCATAAAGAATAAAGAGGGCTTCCCTGGTGGCGCAGTGGTTGAGAGTCCTCCTGCCGATGCAGGGGACACGGGTTTGTGCCCCGGTCCGGGAAGATCCACATGCCGTGGAGCGGCTGGGCCCGTGAGCCATAGCCACTGAGCCTGCGCGTCCGGAGCCTGTGCTCCGCAACGGGAGAGGCCACAACAGTGAGAGGCCCGCGTACGGCAAAAAAAAAAAAAAAAAAAAAAAAAAGAATAAAAAAAAGCTGTGGGAATGTTCCAGATTCAAGAAGGCTAAGGAGACCTGACAACTAAGTCCAATACCTGGCCCTTTACTTTCCCTTCAGTACTGGAGGGGGAAAATGCTATAGAGGATATCATTGGGGCAATTGATAACATTGAAATATGAGAGGGTAGATTAGTTCAAATTATTGCACAAATGCTAAATTTATTGTGGTTGACAACTGTACCGTGGTTACATAAGACACTATCCCTATTTTTAGGAAATACACAGTGAAATATTTAGGACAAAATGGTCATGACATATGGAACTTAGTCTCAAATAATTAAGAAAAATTTACATGTGTGGTGTGTGTGTGTGTGTCTGCTGTGTGTGTGTAGAAAGAGAGAGGGCAGGGTGGGAGGAATAAATGGCAAAGCAAATGGGTAAAAATGTTAACAGGTGAATCTAGGTATGGGATACACAGGTACACTATTTTTATTCATGCATCTTTTCTATCAGTTTGACACGTTTACAAATAAAAAGTTTTTTTAAACTTTAGAAATCTTGACCTTTTCTTTTTGGGAGCTTTTGATTTAATTAGGAGAAGAATAGGAGAGATGATAAAGAGAGGGAAAATATAGTTTGGAAGTCAGTGATACTCTACTATTGGTTTATCACAATTTTAATGTACTTCTAGCCTTAGAAGTAAAGTTCATGTGTCTCAAGCCAGCAGTTCCTTGCAAACACACACATGTAATGTAAATGATGTGTTAGGAGGATTCACTTAGTGCCAGTTTCTGCAGCAGGTTATTTCTCAACCTTATAAAATGAGCTTGATACAAATTCTTCATTTCCTTTGAAATTAGGATGAAGATGTGATCATCTGGCTCTGAAATGTGTGTATTTTAGGACCAGGAGTCTAAGCTATAATGTTTTGTACGTAGATCTAAGAATTGAGTTGAAAGAAGTTTCAAAGCACTAAAGTGACTTTCGTCCTCTACCAGTGGCTGTGTGTTAATTCTCCCAGAAAACCATCATTTCTCTGAGTTAATAGCATCTTTGAAGCTAAATCAAGTCAATTTCCATTGTAACGTTGTGAAGCTTTTGAACTGGGCTCACGGAATTATCCTACTTGATGGCCACCTTGAAGACGGCTTTGAGGTGATCCTAAGAAAACCCACAGCCGCAGCTTCTGTGTGTCACGGCCTTTCCACCCCACCTGATTCAGTCTCATTACTTAATGAGCAGCTCAGGCCAAATGCCCCCCACCCCACCCCTTAGATAAATAGTAGGTAAAATAGATACAAAGGCAATCTAATGTGGTAGAAAGAACCCTGAAATGGAAATTGGAAATGTGATTTTGCCTCCAATTCGGGTTATGTCTTCAGGCAGACCTCAG